AGGAAAAATTCAGAGAAAACGATGCACTATTTCTGAACTATTGAAGAAGGGAAAAGAGAGAATACATCTACTATGTCTCCACATTTAGTTTTGCCTTGTAAGAAGAAGAAGAAGTAATACAATCCGATTAACTTGTCAGACTTTCTCGTGCAACATACGTCGGATTTGATTGAAATCATCTGGCTGATCTTCGCGTACATGGTACCAAGTGAATTCTATTTCATCGAGATTAGGATCACCCGTAGATTTCCGTGCTGGAAATGTTCTAGCAATATCACGCACAGAATGATGATGATGATTTCCATTTCCAACCACGAAAGTATATAAGCAATGAAATTGGCGGTTCTACTTTCAATAGCAAAACAATAATGATGAACGAGTGAGAAGAAATTGACCTTAACTTACTTATGAATATTTAATGTACTTTTACGGAAAATTAGATTAGTAGTATACGCCATATTAAGCATAAAAAATATGAAAAAGTAACGCTTAATAGAGAGAATAGTTATGTGTGATCATCGGAAGGAGACTGTAGTTACAAAAACCTTTCCTAATAAATGAACAAAGTTAACCTTCTATAGCTGAATCTTGTGCTTCAATAATTCACTTGAAGACTTAAAAGCTCAAGCATCCTCACACTCCCTGGGACTCATCTTTTACCCATTGATTGTTCTTGTCTCTTATATGAACAATAAGCGATGTATCAATGCTATCACTTTGTACGAATTTAGTTGAACTATGAAGAATAATTATCATGTTGATTGTTTCCTAGTTGAACATCGATGCCAACACGAGACTAATCGATACTTCGTTTATATAAAAGAGAATTAGAGACGAGATATTATATTATGCGTTCCCATAATAAAATATTCATTATTTGCCTTCTTACACAATTCTAAGTACTGCGATGGGAACTTCTGCTACACCCTAAATATTGTATAATCAATTAATGAGTTAAATTCTCAAAATTCGCAGAAATCGAGGTCAGAAAATAATGACGACGAAAATCTTGTGAATGGCTGTGTTATGTTCTTCAGTAACAACTAATTATTCACATAGTATTTGCAGTCATGTGAATGATTAAATGAATCTCATTTTGTTGTCAGAAAAATAGCTTCTATTTTTATTATAGCAATTCACAAAGATGAAAGGCAAGTGTTTTAAACAGTTCATTATATTATTTCTTTTTCTGACAAAGTGATTTTGACTGTCATTCACAAGCACAAATAAAAACAGAGGATATCGATTTTAACTTCTTGTTCACGTATCAAATCTTCACAAGAAATCATCTACCATAATTATTTTTCAGTTCTTTGTATTTTTGTTGAACAGTGATCGATGCTGGAAATTTATCAATGAGTTTCAACATATATAACAGCATGTCTTCGTTTATCTCTCCATCTAGCGTCATCATAAGCTGCATAGCTTGTGTTACCTATAGATATACAAGACGAAAATACAGTATATGTCACAAGGAAAGAGCTGAGAGAAAGAGAGAAGCTACATGTAAAAGATTGATTTGCTGAATGACAGCGATTGAGTAAGTTTGTTTTCTTGTTGGACTAAAACCATTTATGAAGAACTATTACTTTCGACAATCAATAAGAAAAGAAAACAAATGGCCTGTATTATCATTGACAAAATTTTTCAGCGACAAAGACGATCAAGGACTAATAGGTATTAGTTTAGGGAAGCAAGAGACATTTAACTTTAGAGAGATATAGTTTTAAAAAAATGGCAGAGAAGAACGAGAATGAATAACGGACACGGTTAGCCCTACATGTCCATAACTAAGAGCTCAAATTGGAGAATATTCACGAATAACAAATGTACGTATATGAATTGAATGTATTATGTGATCGCACGAGAAAAATGATTGATACGGAATACCACCAGAGAAGATAATACTTACTATGATGAACGACGTGTAAATTGTCGAATACATGCTGAGTCAATCTAGTTCTGTTTCTGTATTAATGTCCATTTGGAAAGGTGTGTTATTACGAAAATACTATGATTTGTATATCTACTATGTATCTCTTACAGATTTATCAGATTGTTTACGATCGTGACATTTTTAGATACAAGTGCAAATTTTATTAAAAAAATGAATCATCAAAGATTCTTTCATTGAAAGGACTTAACGTAATAGTTGTGATGTTTTGCAGTACACATAATTCTCGGATAAAATCGAAGGTTTCTGTATTTATTGCCTTGTATCCCGTATTGTCTTAAGCTACCAACATACGATTTTTTGCATTATATTATAATTTCAAATTTACCGGATGATGATTGGACTAAATCTCATTGAAACCGATCATCATAAGTAGCCTTGAGTTTATTTATCTCAATTATCCTTATATCCATAACCAATACTCTCATTTGAGTCGTATTAGAAAACGTGTATAGCAACCATTTTGTGAAACACGACCTGGAAGGAAACGTTGAATGTTTATGGGTAGAAATTTGGACCCACCCCTGCCTCTCCCCCAAAGACATGACCATACGTGCGTTTAGTATCATACTTCTCTTGTGCTCCTATGAAGAACCTAATCAAGCAACTTACACACTGAGCAGCTTATAGACCAAACTCAGTATTTCGGAATGAGACTTGTGTCGTGTTTCACATTTTACTCCCGTAGGGATTACGCTCAAAGCTTTTTTTATCGGTATGGATATTTGTGTCGCCCAAGATGTTTTATTAGAATTGAAAAATGATGAAAATACAAATAAAAATAAAAATAAACTAAGTCAGAAAATATGAGAAAGAAGACAGAAAAATAAAAAAAGAGCGCTCATGAAACTAACTACTTAAGTGTATTGAATGACAAATACAGTCTTACATGCTGGGCGTTCAATTGATTCTGTGTCTTGTTAGCTAAAAGAAAAAAATATGAAAGTTAAAACACGTATGTACAATTGATGTGATAAGATATAATCGTCACGTTCTCGATCAGTTAGTGCAGAAAGACTTTGTCTAATAAAATGCTTACCTCTTTCAATTTAAAGGAGCAAGACACATACAATGACATTGACCACTGCTCGGATCCGCACAATCACCTGCTTCACAAGGAGGATTGGGATAATTGTCAGTGACTACATCTTTAAAAAAATTGACGCAACGGTTGTTACCGCAGCATTTGCTGTCTGTGTTACAAAAACCAGTAAATTGAACACATTCATTTTTTTTCATCAAATAACGGAGAAGAGCAATTTCTCTCGTGTCATATGTCATCCGTGCTTGTACTAAGCAGTTTGTTGTTATGAACACCAAGAGGATGGCCAAACATATCATTTGATTGAGCTTTTGCATTGTTCTTTTGTTAATGTTCGACTTTGGATAAAAGAGCAGTACACAGATTCAACAGAATATGTCAATAGTGAATCTACAGTAATACTTTGATTTATATATACGTGGATTGTCGAGCGAAGAGAAATATATTAGGGCGGAAACTGCTTTCTCATTGAGAGAGAGAGATTTTTTATTCATGGATGAATATGTACATCTTCGCCGTTTCAAACATCAGTCATCCACATATTTCGATAATAATAGCATACCCTTGCTACTTTCAATGGTAGATATTTCAGAAACATTGCTTTCCTTCTTACTATTTTGTTCGCATTCGACCTTTAATGAGAAAAACAAGCTTTGATAACAATCTATGCACCTTTTACAATCATCATTTACGTATGAGGCGTTTCTATACATTAAAAAGAATCAACAAAAAATATGTCGACATACAATCGATCAGCGAAGGTGAAATCTCATGTGCGTCAGAAGATAATAATGAAAATATATGTACTTGGAGAAAAATAAATTCGAATGTGTATTTAGAGGTTTTTATTATGATCATGTTTCGATATTTAAAACGTAATAGCTTTATATTTTGAAAGTCTAAGAAATTCTCTGTTATCTTACAAAGATGAATGATCTAATGTCAAATAAAACAACATTTTCCTGCTAAAATCAAGAGAGGTGTGAGCAACACTGATCAGAATGTAGATGAATTATTTCTAGAAACAAATGGTTTTATTAAATAATGTTTTCTTATCTTCAAGTAATTGATTTTTTATTGTAGTAATAAAATGCAAATGTTCAATCATTTTGATAGAAAATACTTGGACTAGTCGATGATCTTGCTGCTTGTCTTGTCAAATTCTTGTTTAGAATCTGAAAAGAATCGTATGATGGACAATATTTGTTGAATTTCAGGGAAGATTTTTTTTCTTTTGAAGGATCTTAACTAGAGCCGGATTCCAGGTCCAGGTCTAAGCAAATATTTTTACATAAAATCTTTCCTTCCTTTCTGATTATCTTTTATTGACTAATTGAAAGAGGAAAATAAAAGCACACATTTGATAAGTGATACTGAAGTGCAGGTGTCGATTCAAAATCCTTGGACCCGGCGCGCTCTACTTGACATGGAATGATGACGATAATAAAGACCAAATATTTTGTCAGAGGAGGAAAATTTCCAATCAGTGTGAATACATTCGGACAAACACATAATTTTATTAAATAATTCTATTTGAACTTTTCACATTCGGCAATGGACGCAGAAAGATCTTCTTCAGACTTCCAGCCACTGTCGATTGTTTCTCTTCATATTTAGCGAGAAATTGTTCCTTTTGCATGTCAGTTGCGTCAACTTCAGGTTTGTTTGCCTGTGTCAATGCTGCTGATCCTTCAGGACTATCTAAACCATGTTGTCGATTTAAACTTTCATTAACATAAGCTTGTATATCATATTCTGATCTTTTCATTGTGAAATAATGACACGCGCTCAAAAGTTTCACTCGAGAAAGTCTTTCATCAATAAATGGCAATGAACGACATCTACACACATCGAATCCGACTCGTTAATTATTATTTTATGAATGACTAAATGCTTGCAAAACTATTAGTTAGTTTAGCGTACAGCAAATGAAGTTGATTTACTGATATATTGCAATTCTATGGTTTGATTCATAAAAAATTAACTACATATTCTATAATGTCTATGTTAACACGACCAAGTGTTGTTTTTGCTATTGTATTCGGCTGCTTTGCAGTTCTCATACCACGTGTTTTTGTACCACTGTTTCGTCCAAGACAATCTGCACCCGTACATCAGCAATATGAACGTAAGCGTTTTCCTATTAATAAAAATTAAATATCACCATTCACTTTCTATAGATTTTCGACGACCACCGTCACCGCCAACCGAATCAATACCACGAAATGATAACGATGATAATCACGAGCATGCATCGGTTCGCACTCGTTTTAGATTACAGGAACAAAAAAACATATTAAAGATATATTTCATTTTAGGATTCTTTTGCACATACGCGCATGCGTCATCCTCATGTCGAACATCAGCAACAATCAATAACGGATCAAATTGGCCCAAAATCAGCTGTTAAATTTGCTTTACCTATGTATACTGTTGGTATTGCAATTTTCTTTCTCTATACTTGTTTCAAAGTATGTTAAATGATTCAAAGACTATTCCAGATAAAATATATTCCTTTGCTTTAGTATTGGGCAAAACGAAATACTGAAGAACATAGGATAAAAAGCCGCTATTCAAGTAATAATATTCAATGGAATGGGCAGAAAAAAAAATTTAAGTATTGTGTGAATACTCGTCAAGAACAGAATGAAAAAGAAGACGATGATGAAGAACTCTATGATGGTATACGAACTTCATCAGTCTTTCAAAAGATAAGATTATTTTGTATTTGTAGGACTAGATGCTGATTATGTCGAATACTTACGATCGAAAAAACAAAAAGAGCTTAATGCTGAACAAGCGCTAACGAGAGAACAAAGACAAAGTATGATGGTTGAAATTTAGAATTGTTGATTTTATGAAGGCGATTCTCCTAGTGCATAACACACTTGATGAAATGAAACATTCATTATCATTTATCAGTTCGAAACTTGGTGCAACTCAAACGGGAAATAGTCTGACCAGTAATGAAATTTCACAATTACAAGATCGACTTGCTTCAACCGAAGCTCAAATGTGTAAAATTTTAAATGCACTCGATATCGCTTCGAATCAAGTGAATAAATTAACTCGAAATACTCGACAAACACTTCAACACCAAGTACAGCAGGTAAATGCATAGAGACGATCGTCTAGTCATCCTATGCTGATGTCTTTTGTTTTAGGAAAATATTATGGATGATGGCGACGACGAAGGAGAGAATCGTCATTTGTCATCGAGATCACAAAGTGAAAGTGAAGAAGACGAGGAAGAAAATTCGAACAGTGAAGAGCATTCATTACTTTCAGACGAACAGAGAAATGTTGAGCATGATGAAGAAGAAAGTTCGTCATCTTATGAAGAAGATGGGGAAGATGGAGTGCCAATTGAAGATAATGAATCAGAGTCATCATCATCAGAACGTTACGGCCTAATGACAACAAACTACGAATGTGACCCATCGGCAATCGATGATTATGAATTGGATACGATCAAGAAACCGGACGAAACAACTGACAGTCAAACAAAAGTGCATGAATGGAACGAACGCCACCATTCTCAATCAATAAGCAGTAATTCATCCAATGAACACGATCAATCAATACCAAACAACGAACAAAAATCAAATGAAAATGCTATGTTGGATATTCGGAATGAAATAGACGTGTTGTATCCGAGAAATCAACTAGAACATAACTGACTGCTCTTTTATATCTTCCATTAAATGCTGTAACAACAAAAGACAAATGAAGTGAAGGAGATAATCACGAACACAAACGACTTGTAGATGTGTCACTAGATGGCGAGATATAACAGAAAACTGCGTCGTTTTATTGTGTGCAAATTTTTCTATTAGTTATCGTCTAGTCATTGTAAATTTTATCGTTTGTTTTTTATTTGTAAATAATGTCGTGTACATTCAATTGTTTTATTTTGCTTTTAGATTGAAAATCATGGCTGATCGTTTTAAAAATGTTCGTGTACCTGGTTCAAACGATAATGTCTACAAAGACGAATGTGTTTATTCATTTGATAATCCAGAATCTGAACATGGTCTTTATATTTGTATGTCGACATTCCGTGGTGTAGGAAAAGATCATTTAGCACGACATTGTCAAACGAATCCGGGAAAAAATGTTTTTCTACAAATTCTTCGAAGACGAATACCTGTGCCCGTTGATCCAAATATTGAGCCAACGAAAGTAACCAAATTAGCGATTGGTGTCGAAGGTGGCTTTGATGCTAATCAATCGAATCGATTCACATTTGATGAAAAATACGCGATTTATATTCATCCAGATGAAACAATTGCCTATCCGAATGAAGTGCAACAACTGCCTGATATTGTCAAACGCTCAGCCGACGCGATTATTGCGGCTGATTCCGCTTTTTTAAAAGAAGAACGTTCGTTAATGAATGCAACATGGGACGGAGAAACACGGCAAGTAACAAGACATACATCGACATTAGAACAGTTGAATAACGGGATAAAAATTCCACCAAGTGGATGGAAATGTCAACATTGTGACTTAACAGATAATCTATGGCTGAATCTAACTGATGGAGCTATTTTATGTGGACGAAAGTTCTACGATGGAACAGGAGGAAATAATCATGCAATTGAACATTACAAAAAGACGAAATATCCATTAGCTGTTAAGCTCGGTTAGTTAGAAGAACTAGATGATAAATCTTGTTTAGTTATTTGATCGATAACTACGATGTTTTCTTCTAGGAACAATCACTGCCAAAGGTGCTGATGTGTACTCTTATGACGAAGATGATATGGTTGAGGATAAAAATCTTGCGATTCACTTATCACATTGGGGCATCAATATGTTAAAAATGGAGAAGAGCGATCGAACAATGGCTGATTTAGAAATTGAATTAAATCAAAAATATAGTGAAGCATCCGCAATCGAAGAAGCCAATTCAAAATTACAACCTGTCTATGGACCAGGTAGATAAACGTACCACCGATTTCATTGTAATCAACTGTTCACTATTTTCAGGTTATACGGGAATGAGAAATTTAGGCAATTCATGTTACATGAATTCTGTTGTTCAAGTCCTATTTACTCTCAGTGACTTTCAAGACAAATATTATAAGCATTGTGATTTCTATTTCGATACAGCAAAAGATCCTGCTCATGACTTTAACGCTCAAACAGCGAAATTAGCATTTGGCCTTTTATCTGGACAGTATTCCAAGTCACTTCCTGCCACTAGTGATCCAACATTATATCCACCGTCAGGTATTCGTCCTCAAATGTTTCGATCATTGATTGGACGTGATCATGCCGATTTCGGTACGAAACAACAACAAGATGCTGCTGAATTTCTTCAATATTACATTGAGCAAGTGCATAATCATTGCTTGAAAGATCCAACACCAGATCCAGAATTAGATCCAAGTATTTGCTTCCAATTTGAATTGGAGGAACGAATCTATTGTCCAGATACAAATCAAGTTCGTTATATAGCTCGACCTGATTCGATGCTCCGAATGAATGTTCCATTGGAAGCTTCGAGAAATATGCACGAAGTCCTCCAGTACAATGCAACAAAAGAAGAACTAGAAAAACAAGGACAAAAAACCGACGACTTACCAATTGTGCGTCCAATTGTTCCACTGAAAGAAACTATTGCGCATTGGGCTGCACCAGAAGAAATCCGTGACTATATTTTACCACGTGATGGTCGCCGAACTACAATTCGAAAAACGCAAAGATTTCGAAATTTTCCAGATTATCTCTTCATTCAGTTGAAGAAATACACGTTCAATCCTGACTGGACACCAAAGAAGATCGATGTGTCCATGGAAATTCCTGACGAAATCGATCTGAATTCACTGCGCGGAACAGGTTTCCAACATGGTGAAACATTGATGCCAGAAGGTAAAAGTCTCACTAGTCGTCTGAATAGCAAGTTAGATTTTACTTTTATTTATAAGATGAAACCTCCGGAGCCGCAGCAAGTTCAGGATCGGCTGTTCATGTTAATGAAGTTCTTCTTCAACAACTTGTCGATATGGGTTTTTCAACTGAAGGTTGTAAACGTGCGTTGATCAACACAGGAAACAATGATGTTGAAGCTGCAATGAATTGGGTATTCGAACATCAATCCGATCCCGATTTTGATACACCTTATCAAGCACCAAGTAAAAAGGCTCGAGTAGAACAAACACCGCCAGTGAGATCTTTCTCTCCTGTCAATACTTGTCGTCTAGTTTTATACATAACTGAAATTTAGGTTGATGAAGAAAGTGTGGGATTAGTTATGTCCATGGGCTTTTCACGTTCACATGCTGTTCGTGCATTGACAGTATCGAACAATAACGTTGAAGCAGCTGTGGATTGGGCTCTCAATACACCAGAAGATGATTCTGCGTTAAGCACTCTAATTCAATCATTACCTCAATCAGCACCTGTAGAACAATCGAAATCACAATTTCGTGATGGCACTGGCAAGTATCGTCTCATTGCTCTCATTTCACATATTGGCAAACATCCATCATCTGGTCACTATGTTGCCCATATTCTTAAAGAAGGCCGCTGGGTGATCTTCAATGATGAAAATGTGGCACTCTCGGAACATCCACCAAAAGATTTAGCTTATCTTTATTTATATAAACGTGAAACGGCTTAATCAATTGGTCCATCACAACCGAGACACTCTTCTCTCTTCTTCTTTCTCTTTTGTTATACTTCCACTTTCTTTGTTATTTTAAACCAGTTGAATATGCATTAACTCTAAGCATTCAAATCAAGATTGTTGTTATGCACAGATTCATACTTTTTATCGTTACTTCTTCTTTTGTTTTTCAGATGTATACTAATTCGAAATTCTAATAGTTCTATTCTTGCTGTAAGCTAATCCACGATCAATTGAAATTGTGTTTTTCACATTCCAGTCTCTTTCTCTCTCTCTCAGCATACAAACAAGAAAAAATGTCCGCAAGTAGTGAAATGCAAATTCGTCGTACAGCGACTTCACGACCAACAGGTGCCGGCTCGCATTTATCCTCGACTGGTACACCATCGTCAGCTAGTAGTCACAAACGAAGACACGACGCTGTTCTATACAGTGATGCTGCTGTTCGTTTCAATGAAAATAGTCTTGAACAATGTCGAACATCTGTTAGTGCACTTTCGGGTTGTGTTGCTGGTATTATTGGTTTAACATCTTATAAAGGATTTCTCTTCTATGGTTTCTCTATGCTACTATTATCATTTCTTATCTTTGTCGTCATTCGACGTGAACATCGCAAGTTTTTTACTAATTTAAACCACGTTTTCGTCAATGGATTTTTCAATGGTCTGCTTACATATGTACTCTTCTGGACATTTCTCTATGGAATGGTGCATGTTTATTGAAAAGCATGAAAACAAAAATGAACAGCTAACTGTAATAGCATAAAGTAGTGTTTCAGATTTGTTTCCTTTTTTTTATAACTGGATTGTTGTTGTTATTGTTTCACTCAACAGAAAAAAAAAGGAAATTTCAAGAATAAACTTTATACACTCAATCACTACTTCTAAATTGAACTACGTAGAATCTATTTCGTGTAACCCAACAGACGAAGAACGTAACATACAGAGTTCTATATGCAAATTAGATATTCTAGATATGAAAACCAAGCCAACGAATTCGCGTTCATCAAACTCTTCTTCAACTGCATCATTAGTCTATACAAATAAAGTTTCAGTGCGCTCATCACTGGAAAATAATGACTGTTACGCTATTGATTTAAGTCTAAATAGTACGGGAAATCATATTGCTGTACTAACTATTCCGAGTACAATTCAATTGTTTGATGCAACAACATTAAAACAGTTGTCATCTCTTTCGTCAACTTCAAACAACTTCGATAGTGCAGATTCAACATCGTCAATTACTATTAGTGCTATCCAATATGCTTATGTTTCACCCCATACTCTATTAGCTTCGACAAATCAAAATTTAGTTCTCCTGTGGGATACGAGAACACCACAACAAGAAACAGTTCGCTTGAACGGATGTGCGGATGAACACAATTTTCTTTCTGTTACATCTAATAGCGAAGATCTATTAGTCGCTGCTGGTACTGAACTGAAAGGTGAAGAAAATGTCGCAATTGCATTTTGGGATTTACGTGCACCGATCAATGGACAATTGTTAGGGTATTACACAGAATCTCATTCGGATGATATCATTCATGTTGAATTTGACCGAACGAATTCGAAAAAGTTAGTCAGTGGATCAACCGATGGTCTTGTCTGCCTGTACGATGTTGGCAAATCGACGGAAGAAGATGCACTTGAACAGGTATCGTATTTATTTCGAAATCGCGAACAATCTAGTCGGTTTTCTTTTCAAGGTTTACAATGCTAACGGACCTGTCGCTAAGTGTGGTTTTGCTCAGTACAACACTGTTTATGGTATCACTGGATCGAATGCTTTTTATGTATGGTCAACATCCGATGACGAACAACAACAACAAACTCTTGTTCAGGGAGACACCGATAGTGATATTCTTTCGAAAGAGATTTCTTTGGAAAAGTCATCAAAAATGATTCATCATCTTCCATCAACACATTCAACAATTGTTGACTTACTCACTGACAGTAGAATCAATAGTCTACTACCATCTGCTTTTCATGAAACGAAGTCCAGTTGGCCATTGTTAATGTGTGATCATATGGGTAAAATGAATATTACATTAGTATCATCCGAACAATCTGAACCAATCATATTATCTCTTCACTCACCTCATTCGGAAACAATCCGAGCAGCAGCGACATATCAGTCATCGCTATATTCTTGCAGCGACGATGGACAGCTAGTTCGCTGGCAGTCATCTTCTGCAATAGATGGTCACGATGACAATGAAAAACAAGCACCATCAAGGAAGAAATCAAACAATCGAAAGCCTTACTAAATATTTTTGTTTTGTTTTTTTCTGTGGTTTTAACAAGATAGTATACATCTTGTTCAATAAAAAGAAATGATTTTGACAATACGATCAGAGATTATTGTTTTTCACACTTCAATGTTATTTTTCTCGCTATTAAGTATGATGCATTCCGGCATATTTTTCTTATTTGATGCTACCATCCAATTATGTGTGTATATATATATATATATAGACGCGATGCTTGTTGTGTTTCTCCATCGGACAACTATTAGATCGGCACTTCGCTTTGATCGTCTTCAAAGGAATAGACGGATTAAACATCTAAATATGTGTGCATATACGTTACTGAAATGTATTTTTCAAATTTTTTCTCTTTCCATCTGGGAGTGTCTTGACACATCAATAATGACGAAACGATCGCCGACGCGTCGGTTAGACGGAGAAAAAAAGACGAATTGAACAGAAACGAAAAAAGAAGAAAGACAAACGTCCATATATTTGATAGGCTATCATTTCGTTAACGTTTTCTTCTATATACGAAAACGATTTCAACACAAATTGATCACTTTTGCCGAAAGTTTCAGAAATTATGTCTTTCAGTGACACTGAATGTTCACATCGCTCATCGTTAGCTCATCGAGTACCAGCAAATAATGCTCCCCAATCATCGCGAACAATTCCAGCCCACGAAATTGTTTCTAATCCGGAAACATCAAAATTATTTCTGGAATTTCTCCTGAGTTCACCTCAAACAGTTACCCTTGGCTCTGTTTATGCGATTGTCTTAGTACTAAACGAAAAAAAAGATGATCTCCATCAACTGCATGAAATCGGACGAGCAGCGTATAAAACTTACATTGAAACTGAATCGGTTCTACCTTGGTTACCTATGCAACGCCGATTAGAATTACGTGATTTGTACCGTCGAAAACAATTCAACGAACATTTTTTCGATGGCGTCGTCGACGATCTACTAATCTATCTAGAAACTCAAACAGATGTCTTTCGACAATTTCTCAATTCCAGAGTTTGGAATGAATATCGACGAGAAAAGTTCACGAAAAATCCTGCTCAGATTAGATCAACATCGACATTAGTGAATAATACAAGTAATTATCAAAACGAAAGTGATCTCAAGCGCTCTCGCAAACTTCATTCATCATCGTTATCCTTGCAAACAAAAGGCAAGTCGAATGATCGACATTCACATCATCATCATCATCACAATCGAAGTGTTCGAATTGAACGTATGAAAAGCTTTCTTTTGAAAATATTTCATTGCTCATGTGTACTGTTTTAGCAACATCAATGAAGAAAACACGTGTAGCTTATTTTCTGCCTGATAGTGATACCCCATTTGTTATTCAAGTCGCTGTTCCTGTCGAATCTATTACATTGAATGATATTCTCCCACGATTGCATATCTCCTCAGTAAATCAACGAAATAATCTCAGTACAAATACTTCACTGGACTATTTCGTCAAGCACCGAGCATCGAATGAGAATTGGCTTGGTGGTGATACACAATTTATCAATGAAAAAATCGATGACTTCGATCAGCCGCTTCCAAATATTGATGGAACGGTAGTCATACGAATTTTGAACAATAGTTAGATTCTTCGAATTATTTGTTTTCTTTGTGTTCTCCTTATGAATGTCAGATGACTCTTTTTTGTTGTTGTATGAATTATTGAGTAATGAGGATATTTGAATGATTCATAAATTTCAAACACAGTGCGAATGTACAGGAACTAAATGTTATTGTAAATGGAAAAAGAAAGAAAGAAGTACATTCTCGAGTTGTTTTTTCGTTGAAAAATCAGTCATGCGGAAAGGCATAAGTGACATGTATACATATATACGAGTATTGGTGATGAGTAAAGCAAAAAAATCGAATATACGCGTATATCAATAGTTTGGACATTCATCAATGTAAGTAGCTTCTATGTTGTGGAACAACATCATAGATAATTTAATGATCCGAGAGCCAAATCTGTCTGGAATTGCTTTCATTAGTAATTCCCTTCGTTTTTCTTGACGAGACGATGAGTCATCTTTGAAGTCATGTTTTTCTTATTCTCTGCATGAATACTTCGCAACAATGCAATTAGAAGCAATGTCGGCAATGATTTTTCTTAATTTTGATTATTGATGTCTAACTTCAGATTTGATCCAAGGATCGTTGTTTTAGAGATAATTCATTATGGTAGTACTTACGACAGATGTGATTGTAGCATTAGCAGTAGTTGCGGTTGTAGTGATTCTCATTCTACTTATTCTTTTGGTAAGAAAAACAGTTCGATCGAAATCAGTTTTGAAATCCGATGAATATTTTATATTTAGATCTGTTGTTTATGTCGCAAGTGCGATCAATGTGCGCGATGGTCACGACGCAAAGCGAACGATCAAGAGGATGCGAGACGAGCAGCCGAACTTGCTGATTCTCGCCGTGAATTCAATGAAATCCGACAGCAACACGAGGTGGTGCGCGATCAACTCCGAGTGAAATATAATCTTAATGGTGGCAATTCGAATGCTGAAGTTATTCCATAATTCAGTGTTGTTTTTTGCTTTCTTTTGTATATCTTTTCTTGACATTGTGTATTTATATTCAATGGTCTTGAACAAATGATGATGATAAATGTGTTGTGTTTTATCTTTTGATACACATCGAATTCTGTGAACATAAAAAAAGTCAATATTTGATCGATGTCTATTACACTTGAGGAGCTAGTGGCTGTCTAGTCTAACACCTATAGCAATTTACAAAATTGACATAGATGAAACGTGTTTTGTCTCACGCGACAAATGTCTCTGTTCCATATTACTTATGAGAATCGAATTAAAATACATTTGTCTTCTCCCTTTCTCACTAGTCTTCTCATTTCTTCGTTCTTTTTTGCTGTTGTGCATATAGAAAAGTTCAACTGTTCTATTCGCATCAATTGCCCCTTCTGTTATTATTTTGCTGCTGTCGTTGCTGCTTGATTAACACAGTGGGTATACATATCTAACAATAAGTGACAAAGAAATGAGGTCAAGTTCGATACAAGGTTTCTTTTTTCATACTAGACGAAAAGAAATATTTTGACGCTCAATATCACAAGACATTACACTTTTATGTACATTCAATAAGCACACACATTTGTTCTATTGAAATATGTTAAACACATATCTTCGAAATCAGTCAAGTAAGACTATCAGTCGGAGAATTGGAGAAATGATTACAAGGTTTTCATTGATAAGAACAAACATATTTATATAACATAGTTGCTGTTATCTTTTGATTCTGTCATTGGATGACATATCAGTAATGAATGCGAAGATGCAAATAATTAATCATTGACTTTCTCTCTTTAGGATTGTCAGACAGTTATTTAGCTTTTGAATGCATTTGTTATTCGAGAACGAATACAATAGAACTTCTCAGCTTTGTAGTTTTTGTTTAAAGCTTTCCATCGGAGAGACGTGTGTTTTGTACTGAGTAGTTCTATTCGAGAATATTCTTTTTTGTAGAAAACACTATTCTCGATCTAAATGACGAGAAAACCTAAGATGACAGAAAGAAGGAAAGGCAAAAGCGAGTGACGATTGAACAATTCCTATCCTCTACCCTTCTCATCGTCATTTTTGACAAGCAAGCTTCGAAGAAGGAGAGGAAAGAAAAGTTCGCGTATTATAGTAAGACATGTTGGCGGACACCCGATCCATGTCGATGGAGGAGAAGAAAAGAAAAATAGGAAAAAAAACGGGTTGAGATAGCTTCTTTGTAACTAGTCTGAAGAAGTGAGAAACGACCGAGAAAAGAAAGAAAAGAGAACAAACAACGGGTCGTCTCTTGATTAAATCAGGCAGCTAAGGCATAGATGACGTACTGCTAGTGCCCGAAACTGAAGAAAGAAAAAGAGAGGAAAAAAGAAGACGATGCCGTAGAAAAAAAACTATAGACGTCGATGTCTTTTCTTTTCCGTTTTCCCTTTTTTTCCTCTCTCTCTCTCTCTCTCTCTCTCTCTCTCGCTTCCTAACCCTACTTTCTGCTATTGTGCGTGCAGAATGCAACACACACAACCCAAATTCCTCGTCATTCTCTCATCATTTGCTAGCACAAGAAACAACAAACGAAGACAAATATACACCCACGTCTAGCGGATTGATCAATTCTACTATCTTTTTTTCTCTTCTCGCGATCGTTTTTTCTCGGCATTTTCTTAAAAACGAAAAACAAACATCATTCTAACGTTCAACACATCGTACGTCTATATGTTCTTCGGATTGGTCAGTAAACGACAATCAGTAAGTTTATTCTTTTGCTCTTTTACTTGAACAAATGCACAGTGTTGTGTAATCAGACAGCGCCAGGTGCCAAGCGTATATTCTTAACTCTTTCAGTCATTTTTTTGCTTTTTCCTGTTAATTATTGTATACGTAACATAAACCAAATATAGGTGAGTCTTAGCATTGGATGTATATCGTTATCGAAAATCGGCAGCTGTTTTCATGCATGCATCTAATCGATATTAATCGATTAAAACGAGACAGTTTATTTGAAAATGAGTGTGAAATACTTTAAGACGGGACGTTTTCAATAAATATATTTCTAGATGAAGGCCTTTTCGTAATAATTCTTTCGTTGGAGAAAAAGGCCTAGAATGAGATGGCNGTAGTTCACATATCACCACTGTTACTATTCTCATCATCATTTTCATGAACATTTTCATTCTCTTTCGTCTATCAATGTCCGATGTTGAAATATAGTTGGCAAGCTTATCATCATTAACACGTAGTGTGAGAAAAAAGAAGGCGAAAAAAAAGAAACGAAAGAATGTATGTCTAGTGTCTATTTTATGTTTGATTCATTTGTCCGACCATAGTAAAGTAATATCAATCAGTAATAATATGTTATTGAGGTCAACAATGAGGTAGCAAGACATTGAAGTTTAGTTGTATCGAAATGAAATTTGTGAACAATTTTTCTTTCTTTTATAGTTGGCTCCATGTTCAATCAGAACGGCGGAACAACGTTAGTTTCTCAATTACTTGACTCAATCAATGATCATCTGACAAGTGCTCATTCATCCATGGAAGAAAATACTGAACGGCAATCACCGCAAAAACAAAATCAACAGCCACATTCACCAGAATATGAAATGTCAGTCGACAATCCCGATGATGATGAACTTTGGCTTAGCGGCCATCGATCGATCTTTTCATCGTATGGAAGTTATTGTCGTAAAGCGCCTGCTCAACTTCGTGATAGTCAATACGAAGGGTTCCATTGGGATTTATATGAAGATCGTAATTATCACCATCTAGCTTTTGAACAGGAACAACCGGATGTTTCAGCTAATTGTCAAGCAACAAGTCTTTCGGAATGGTCAATGCGATTAAGTTCAGGTGTGATTGGTGCTGAAGGAGATACGGAGGATGACGCTGATGGTGAAGGTGATGATAACACCTCATCATCGGATCCACCGCGTACCTCGTGGCATGCGATAAAATCGAAATCGATTCATCGAAGTTGTTCATCATCATCGGCCAACACATCCGATGGCGGCGCGCATCGATCACGTAGTCCTCTGACATTGTACCGTTTATTTCAACGTGCAAGATCTCAACAACATCCTTGTCGAATCTATCAAAACTTCAGTGATAAAAGTATTTGTGATTCATTGACATCATCATCCTGTTCGAATCTGAACAAACTAAATGAATCAACCACGCAGAAATATAACGTGCCTATACCAAGATTCCAACTGAAAAGTCCAACGACATTCTCTCAATTAAAATTAAATAAATCCAGTAGTCATAACGATCTTTATTCATCGACAGAACAGTCAGTGACGAAGAATAAAGTACAATTCAAGGGTAAGTCCAAAGCACCAAAATGATCAGTTATCATTGAATCCTGTTCGAATAAGAAAAGAAAGGAAAGGGTTAAACCATCTACACCGTCTATGTGTCCCAACCGTCAAAACTTTCTTTGATTGACATTTAGATAAGTACACATGAAAGCTTTATCTGACGTTGTTTTTTTTCGTTTTAGCTTCTAATCAAGCTAGTTCTCGTCGTAGTGTTGATCAATGTCTCCAAACATCTATACATGTTGACAATAGTTCATCACCTCAACCAAAATCAACACGTCGTTATATTCCCCGATCGACTTCTCGACCATTGAGTACACAAAATCATTGTTTACAGACAGAAAATACCTCTGTCACTCGTTCGAAGAGCGTTGACCGTCTATTAAATAATAATACTCAGAGTTCAAATGTGAATACTCCTAGTCAAACACTGAAACTTCCATCATCTGCATCTCATTCGTCACTGCCAACACTGTCGTCATTGCCCGATCTCAGTTTTCTTGTTTATTATGCCAAAGAAAACCCAACACCATCACAACCTTCATTATCAGCCACGACAACACCTACATGCCATTCGGCACATCCACATCCTCCTTGCGGAATGAAAACAACATTTTCCGAACCGTCGTCATTAACGAAGAAAGCAACACGAACTGTCTTCTATTGTAGTTTAAAAGTACCATCAGCATCACCGTCATTATCGAATCCCTTGCGACCAACATCACTTCATCCTCCTCTTCCTTCTTCTCTATC